CCCATATAGCACGGTCAAAGCTTCATCCACCACACAAATGTAGAACATTCAACAAAGTGGTAGAGACAGGTATTTAATGCCTAAAACCCTACCACCTGCAACATTTTCGTTATTTTTTTCTTCACTTTTAATCTTTTATTTTTTATTTATCGGAGACAAATACTTGGATCGATTCTGATTTTGTTTAGCCGTTGTAGACATGCTTTTAATTTATACATGCCTTACATCATGAAAAGCAAATTTCAGCCCAGTAGTTACTTCATTGTTTGTCGAAAATTTCTTTGACTAAAATCGAATCAATCGCAATATTGTAGTTTTTTTCTTGTTCTTAGCCAAGAAAATCATATTATCAAATTGCACTGCCATTTGGAACTCAAAAGAAATATGTTGTGTCAAAATAGTTTTTTCGGTGACTGTGATTATGAGTGTGGAATGCAAAGTGAAAATGTGTCTGATTTTTATTTTATTTATAAGCACCTACAGAAGTCTATTAACTAATTAGTGTAAATACCAACAAATCAAGAGCATGATTAGTTGAAAATATTTTGATAACTGGAAAAATATGAACTATATAATAGTGGCGCATTTGATATGATTTTTGAAACTGAAATTTATGTTCCGCAAACTAAAGATTTTATTTTTAGAGTCAAAATTTATGTTTTTGTTTGTATTTATTAATTAGACATGTGCTTCTATCATATAAAAATTATTATTTTTTCTTAAGTTATTTTTATCATTCAAAATCAATTGAGATTTAAATTGTATTTTAACCATGCAACGTTTATATTAGTAACATGAATAAAATAATTTATATACTTGTAGCATATATTAAGAAAATTAACATAAATAAAAAAAATTATTGGTGTTTATGATTTTTAGAAAAAAAAAATATATACGTGTCAATAATGCACAGATGTATATATAATATTATATGTAATATTTGAGAATTTAATATTAAAATTTTAGATAATGAACATATTACATTTTCAAAAATTTGATTATTAAAAAAAAATAACGATTTTATTATTATGAAATATTTTATATTACCATTAGATACTAACTGTTTAATTATTATTATTATTATTATTATTATTATTATTATTATTATTATTAAAACAATTGTTTATAAGATTCTAAAGTTGTTTGATTATGCTATTAAAATAATTTACTAATTGTTTTTAAAGAAATTTTTTCATGGGATACAAAAGAAAAAGATAATATTGATGTTAAAATAAATAACATAAAACAATTGTTCTTAATTATGTAATTTATATTTATTGTGAATTATTATTAGTTGATATTAGCAATAACTATTATATAATATAATAGAAAAATACATGATTATACTCATTATGATGTATTAATGTGAGAAATAAAAAATATTAATGATAATTTTTGTAACCGAAAATGGAGGGAAAATGTTAGAGGTTTTATTAAATAGGTAAAATTAAATGTTATATGCTAGCAATTATATATATATAGATTGCATTTTTTATATGAATATTTATTTATTTATGGTAGTCAACAACAACAAAAATACATACGGAAACTCTTTTTTCTAAACAAAAAGAAAATTTAAAACGTAACTTCCAAATAAAATATTAATAAGCTTGTAAAACGTGACAACACAGTTAACTTTCTACAAGTAGGAAGTTTGTTGTAGGACCCACTAAGCACTTACTAAGAATAGAAAATGAGTTGTCTAATTATATAGTAGATAGATTTTGTTATTTACTTCTATCAAAAATTCATATTTCATATCAAATTAAATTTATTTATTTTTTTTTTATAGACATTCCCAATTTTAACAATAATATTTAATAGTCTTTTTATTTTCAGACGAGACGCTCGAACTTGTAAACAAACCGAGTTGAGCTCGAACTTCTGATACCCAAGCTCCAGCCTGAACCTTTACCATGCGCATAAAGATCTTATCCTGTATATATATAGATTAATATTAACAAGTCAAACTCGAAAATTAACGAACTGAATTAAATTAACTGTTTTTTTTTTTAAAAAAAAAAAACTACATAAATGACCTTATATCGAGCTTAACAGTTAACAAGGCTTAACGAGTCAAGTTTGACTCAACTCATTAAGTAAACGAGCTTTAAATGAGCTCTACTTATTAGCCTCTCAATTTTCACTGAACACTGGCCATCCAAAATCTTTAAGATCAGCTAAATAGTACCTTAGATTATTTATCCATGACTAAACAATGCTTCATAAACATTCATAATACAACAGAAATTGCTTTTAACCGTCTCAAATCAGTTTCACCTCAGTCATAATACATCTCATCTCAGTAAAAAGAAACATGAAAGGCAAACATCAAGATCACAATCCACAAACATCTCCAATATACCATTTTTTCCATAAATCTGCTGATATCAATCCTAAAGCCAATTTATCCAGTATAAAAGATGTCGCACACAAACATGCATGAACATCAATAAAATTAAAATCTCGATTTCCCTATATGAAACAATGGGAAAACGGGAAAAAAGAAAAAGAAGTACAAGATAATCTCCCTCAAAACGAGATGAGATCGTCTTTTGCTGGCTGAGATTTCTTCTCATCACCTCTCGAATCCGATGTCCCGCCACCACCACCACCGGATGATTTCTTACCAAAGATCATCTCGTCGAGATCATCCATGATATCATCATGGCTGTTGTTATTATTGCTTCCATGGCTTTCGGGCCTGGGGCCCGATGGTTTTCTGACAAGAGTCTCTTCTTTTCCGGCCCGTGGAGACTCGTCAGGCTCCACAGCTACGGGTATCATGGCAGGCTCAGGCTCCTGTGGGACCGTTAGGGGCTTCTTCATATCCTCGTATTTGGACAGGACTTTCTGGATCTCGTCATTCACGTTAAGTGCCTCAAAGAGGAGGGCCTCATTGTCCCCAGCCGTCTCGATTATTGTCTGAACAGTGTATTGGGATTGGCGGCATTGTTGTAAAAGCGTGGTGGTTAAATCATCCTGCATGAAAATTTTGGGAAAATGTGAGAAACAATAAAGACTACGTGTGGTAACCAAATAAGTTGGTTTACAAGCTTCATGTATTCAAATAAGCTTAGACGAGCTTTGTTACTCGAGCTTATCTCATAAACTTCTTGGGTAACTTTTTAAATAAGCTCCTTGAATTTTTTATTTCAGCTAACTTATCAACTAATTTTACCAAACACTTTTATCATATAAGCTAACTTTTCAACTAGAAGTCATAAGCTATAAGCTTGAAAATCAATTATCAGTTGGCTTATAATTTTACCAAACATAGCCTAAGCCAAATTCAACTGTCCCCTTCGCTTTTATTCCCACTTATATGTACTAAACGGTTCAGAAATTCTAATTTGAAAACATCTCGTGTATCCTACTCAGCCACATTGATATTATCTCTAGAACTCTACATTATCAGCATTTGTGTTAGGAATTACAAATGGTTAATAAGTCTAACCCCAATAATTATTGGTACAAACTACAAAGACTCTTTAATTATTACCGTTGCTTCACATAAACAAGTACAAATGGCTAACGGGTCAATTTGAGAACAAACTAGTCATCAAAGAAGAATAAATATTAATAACAATATGATTTACACTGAAGCCCCAATTTCTGATAAGAGAACGAATATCATTCTCATGAAAGTACCCATAACTGAAATGATAAGTGGAAATAAAAAGAAGCATACACAGGTAGTCAAATAAAAGTAGGAGATAATTGACGTGTTGATTGGGTACCTGCAGAGCATCTTGCTGAGGGGAAGAGGTCAGAACAGTATTAAGAAGCTCGATACTGTTTTTGGCCACATCAAATGCTTCCTTTGTCTGTTCTGGTGAAAAAGTCTGCACAGGAATATCGTGATGAAGATGTTGGGCGAGTGGGGCATTTGGTTCTGCAGCCGAAATTGATCTTTCGGGAGTAAATATTGGGGCCAGGCTCTCATTGTCTCGTCCAGGAAAACGTACTCCTCTCGATTTCAAACTCTAAAAGAGAAAGAAAAAAAAAAAAAGTTGCTTCATGCATGCTCAAAAATGAAAACAAATGAGGAAAGATGAGAAAAGAAGAAGAAGAAGAAGAAAAATCGAGACCAATCATAACCCAATCAATAACATCAAAACAAAAAATGAGATGCTCAAATTTTCCATGTCTTGCCACCAATTGATAACAAGGATTGAGCTATGACCATGCCCAGCAGCATCACGCCACCCATAGGAGATATTATGACAGCAGAAGATTAACTACTTAAGTAAACGTTAATTGTCCTTTAATATCGTATCTGACGCAAGCACTGCATGAATGCAGAGCGTGTGTACATTTGCATCACATAAAATTCTCTCACATTATGTACATACCATGCATGCATCAGGACTTGAATTAATCACTTGATACCATATCTCCACAAATATTGTGAAAACGCAATAATAATTCGATACAAGAAAGTGTGAGAAAGACGAAAGGAAACCTCAACACAACAATCAATAAAGTGGCTCCACAATTCACACGAATACTCACGGGAAATTGAAAAAACAAAGCAATGACAAACAACAAGCAAAAGAGCAAAATAAACTGAGCTCGCTTAAACAGCATAAGTGTAGTAATGTACCTTATAAGTCTCTTCATAAACGGGCAAATATCTCAGCTCGTTTGATGACTCACCCCAAGACTCAATCAACATGAGAGCCTTATTCCGATTATTCACAACTGTCTGCGGGTCATCAATCAGCTTCACCATCTCGTCAAGTACTCTCTCGGCAGCTACCTCCGAAAAGGCTTTCTCGCAATTCTTCACAACAGTTTCGAGCAAGACAAGAGCAAGGTACTGAACTCTGGCGCTTTTCAGCATAATCCTTTTCTTTATACCCCTAATTAGCTCAACACTGTTAATCCTGTCATGGTTGATCATATCGCATAGCTCAAGATTCGTGGCCCAATCGGGCTCGTTGAGGGTCTCGGCCGTGGCCTCCTCTACCAGCTTGTCTGTTTGGTTCGGGCCCTGGAAAAATTCCTTCATCTTGAAANATCGAGCTCATGCCAGCAGTGATCTTCTGCCCAACCTCGGACCCTCCGATTTTCAGGCGCTCGCCAAGGGAATTCACTTTGTCCATCAAATTGTCACCCATGTTTTTGTCTGGATAAACTCTCGAAAAAACTGAACAAGTCTAAATTGGTAGAAAATCCTCAGTCTAGATCTGAAAATACAAAAGATGCTGACTTTATATATCTAATCTTCCAATACAAGGCAGTACTCTAATTCCTTAGTAGACCCAACTAGCTAATATCGTAACAAACCAAACCAAAAACCACAGCAAATCACACGCTCTTTGATCGACGATCACAGAGAAAATACAGAAATTATGCTTTGATTTGCTTAGACATCAATATTACCCCAAAAGAAAAAATAAATAAACCTAAAAACAATCGAATCATAAAATAGACAATAGAGAAATATGCAACCCTCAAAATTCAAAATTTTACCTAATTCAGGAAGGCTCGGAGTTCATAACATTTAATGATGTAAGAAGTCGATCAAAAATTACAATAAAAATACGAAAAGCTTGGGATCGAAGAAAACGCGTTAGAATTTGTACCTTGAAACTGAAGGAGTAGTCTAATAAGAGCAGGTTTTTTGTGTGAAATTTAAGACGACGACTCTCCGTCCATAGACGGACTTTTAAAGTTTTATTCTATACAGGAAGCTTCCAAGTCCCCTAAGCCTGCAAATTCAATTCTATCGCTTGAGAGCAGACAAATATTCAATCTTTTGGCTTATTCTTCCATATATTTTAATTTTCTTTGTATTTCTTTCAAAAAATACATTTATCTTGTAAATATTGATAAATATCAAATTTCCAAATCGGTAAAAAATAAATAAATAAATAAATAAAACCTATTTTCATTCACTCTAAGTTGACTAACTAAAATATGTTCAAATATTTAACATTTTTTGTCTGATCATAATTTTTATATAATATATATATATATATATATATTATTAATTGTGATGATTTTTTATTTAACACTATATAAAACAATAAAAAATGGTTATACATTATTCTATAGGAAGTATTAGATAGTATTGTTAAATTAGACGAGTCTTGCTTAGCTCGGCTCGCTAAGACTTGAGTTCAACTCGTTTAAAGTTTGTACGGTTAACGACTCAGCTCGATAAGACTTGTAAAGAATCAAAATAAAATTACTATATATATTTTTTATAGTTCGAGTCAGTAAAACTCAAAGTCAAGTCATTATTACTGATAACGAGCCGAACTCAAGCTCGATTTCAGGCTCTTTTATTTAACGAGTCGAGCTCGGGACTTGACTTGCTAAGAGCTCGAGCATGAGCTCAGCTCGACTATTTACATGCTTGTGCCATATAAATAAAGATACTACGGCTATGTTTGGTAGACTAATAAGCTAGCCTATAGCTTATTTGATTAGCTTATAAGCTCCATGTATTTAAATAAGCTCTGTTTGGTAGGACGAGCTTATTTGATAAGCTTCTTTAGTTAGCTTTTCAAATAAGCTAGTTGATTTTTTCATTCCTGCTAGCTTATTAGCTAATTTTACCAAATAATTTTATCATAAGCTAGCTTTTTAACTATAAGTCATAAGCTATAAACTATAAGCTCGAAAATTGCTGCTAAGCTATAAGCTAACTTATCAGCTATCAGGTAGCTTATCAGCTAATTTTACCAAACATAGCCTATTATGTTTGGTAAAAGTAGTTGATAAACTAGCTTATAGTTTATCAGTATTTTTTTAGCTTATAGCTTAAAGCTTATAATTTATTATTGAAAAAATAGCTTATGTTATAAAAGTGTTTGTTTTTTTAGCTTATAGCTTAAAGCTTATGACTTAGGCTATGTTGGAATATCACTTGTGAGTGTCCCACATTGATTCTATAGGGATAATGAGTCTAGTATATAAGCCTAGTGGGCTACTACTCCTATCACCAATTGGTTTGGGATGGAACTTCACTATGGTGCACTTAGACTCACTCTCTTATGGTGCGCCTTCACCCAGTTTGCTATGTGGGTTTGGGCTTATGAAGGACTCACAAGTGAGGGGGCGTGTTGGAATATCACTTGTGAGTGTCCCACATTGATTCTATAGGGAGAATGAGTCTAGTATATAAGCCTAGTGGGCTACTCCTCCTCTCACCAACTGGTTTTGGGATGGAACTTCACTATGGTGCACCTAAACTCACTCTCTTATGGTGCGCCTTCATCTGGTGGGACCGCACTCTCTTCCTCCGGTTCTAATAGGCTATATTATTGGTAAACAAATAAGCTAATTTATAGCATATTTGGTTAGCTTATAAGCTTCTTATATTAAAATAAGTCTTGTTTGGTAGGACGGGCTTATTGATAAGCTTCCTTAGGTAGCTTTTCAAATAATCTAGTTGAATTTTTTATTTGAGCTAGCTTATTAACTAGTTTTACCGAACATTTTTCTTATATAAGTTAACTTTTCAGCTATAAATATATGTTTCGTTGAGTGGATGAGGTTGAAACTTGAACCGATGACTGGGACCAGACTGTAATTGTTGCTCCTGCGTGAGCCGGTTTAAAATTTTTATTTTTTTTTTTTTAAAAAAAAAAAGAAATTAAAAAGGTCTAAAAATACTCATCGCCCACCAGTGACCACCACCCAGCTCCTTCATAACAGGCTAAAACCTTCAGCTGAAAAATACTTTCAATCTCCAATCGTCCTCGTTAACTCGGGAAGAAGTTCATAAAGAACAAGTAATCTTTCTTTCTCCTCATGGTTGAATCTGTTGCTGTTTGTGTTATAATCTCTGCGTGGTTTGAAAATCGTGAGCTAACTCCATTAATGGCGATTTTGGGTGCAGTTCAGAGCGCCGGCCTTAGGGTTTGGACATGATAAAGATGACATTTCTCGGCGCGTTGTTGATTGTGGCGGCTTGTTTCGCTATCGGGTGCCTAATCGGGTCACGACATTCGTCTCGTGGGCCTGTTAGTTCGTCGGATAATTCTGAAATCAACGACGGCGTCAGGAAGAAGACTTATCGGAGCAAACAGCTTCGAGAGGTTGAGAAACTTGCAGATATTATGGACGACTTTAAGATGGTAATGTTTCGATTTATGTTTCCAATGAATCACTGTCCAGGGAGAAATAAAAGCTAAGGCACAAATTCTTGCTTCTTTTGTATTTTATAGTATGACATTTCAATTTGGAATTATGCATATTTGTTAAAAATGCATGGTTGCCTAACGGTTAGGCCTGACGGTAACCTTCATGAAGCTAGGGATGTAATTGGGATTTTTGTGTGTAAGTGAGCATTTTTGTTGGGCGGGTGTAATTTCGGTGCAGGTTTTGGTTGTGAGGAATGACCTAAAAATGGGGAAAGGAAAGATTGCTGCCCAATGCAGGTAAAAATCGATTTGATGATTGCTTATAAGAATGATGGAGAACTGAATGTTATCATGTGGTGGTGATTCTGTGATCGAATATTCGATTGAGATAGCCTTTGAAGAATAATCTTGTATGGTTGCATTATAGTCTTTGAAGAATAATCTTGTGTTTTTTCAAGTAATGCGATTCTTGATGTCGGTTGGATTACGCATTGGATGAGAAGAAGTAGGAAATGTGTGCAGATAGATTGTTTAATTATGAGAAGATTTTTTGGAAGTGGGTTTTATTTTTTGGCAATTAAAGTGACAGATATCTGTATTGTTTTCTCAATTTCATGACTTGCTTATGTATTTGCACCAGCACATACGTGTGAGTAATGATTGTCCACCTGATGATTCTTTACGAATGTTCCTGTTGAAATGTTTGAGCAGTGTATGCTCATGTTTTAGCATGTCGGTTTATATTTGCACATGGAAGATAGACTCGTAATTGGATTACCTGTGTTGGTGTTGTGTAGCCATGCCACTTTGGGGCTGTACAAGAAGATCCTTAACCGAGCACCAAATTCCTTAAGCAGGTTGTTTTCTTGATTTTACTGCAAATACAGAAATCCTTCACTACACGAGCAATATATAGTATGTTTACGAATCAGAGTTATCATCCAGGTGGGAGATGTGCGGGCAGGTTAAGGTTGTCTTGAAAATTGAAAGTGAAGACGATATGCTTGTTTTACAGGTCTTTTTTTGCGTAATATGTGTTTAATTTAGTCTGTAAAAGCATTGCCTAAGATAAATCTTCTTCGATTAAATCAATGGATGTAGCCTGTCAACTGCTGCTAAGCCTTTGGGTTAGAGGAAAATGGAATTTAGAGAAATAATGTTATTTTAAACTGATTATTACCAACTATTTCATGCTTAAATTTCTGGATCTCTTGCAGCAAAACCTCTTGATAGTCAAATCAACATCATTTTGTAATTTGTCAGAGCTGAAGTTAAATTCTTTCGAGCTTTGCTTAAATTTCAAACCCCACAGATGTTTTGACATTGTTGATATCTTTATATGCTGCACGTCACTTTCAGATTGAACTTCTAACATTATCACAATGATCTTACTTCACTTTGATGAAAAACTATTCAATTTTCATTTGATTGTTGTAATATTTGTAAGACATTTGCTCTATATGATTACATAGAATTGGTCGTAATCTAGATTAAAAGGAAGTATGAATAACATGCTATTCGCATGGTGTTTTGTTTTCATTCTACTAATATCATTTTTACTTATATAGGAGAAGGCGAAATCTCTGAATTTACCAGCACATATAACAGTTGATGCCGGTAGAACACAGATTGCCCCAAGTGAGTGTTATATTTTTTTTTCTTTCTCCGGCCTCATTTTCACGACGTTTGCTCTGAGAGACGAATTTATTTTTGTTCTTGCAACATTTTGGTATTTGAGCTGAACAGAGAAGTAACGTCAAACACGTATCGCCAGTTTTGGTGTTTTCAAACTCATCTTTTATTAGGGTTAATCTAGAAATGAAAAATCTTAAAATCTGGCGCTTCTTTTATCGGCTAACAAATTTTAAATTTACATCCTGTTTTCCAGATTCAAGAACAGTAATGGCAATTTTAGGTAAGTTTTATTTCCGTTGCATACATCTGATATTTTATTAAAATTTCCACATGCGATTAAGTTTCCCTCCGAAAGCTTCTTTTTAATTCTGATTTTATATTTCAGCAGGTCCAGCTGATCTAGTCGATGATGTAACGGGCGGATTAAAGCTTTTATAATTGCATTTCATCATTAGCTTCAAAGAAGCTTAAATATTATTAACATCTACACAGGTTGCTAGAGACGAGAAAACACAGATACAGCCGATTTTTTCGGCATGGTTTTGCAGCTATTGATGACGATGACGATGACAATGAATCTAACTAGTGAACTCATCGCGTTGTATATTGTTGTTGTTATTTTCTTCCCATGAATGCAGGCAATTGAACCTATATTATGTGATCTGGCAGCATTGTTTTTTGGGGTTTATTTAGTTAATTGATTTGTTTTACAGTTGTGTAATAGATTTTGTAGTCAAATTTGAGATGATTCCAACAAAAAGGGTTAAAAGCCAGAATTTGGAGTAAAAATTTATTTAGAAATTAAAAAAGCTAAAAGCCCAAAAAATATTAAACCTGCTAAAAGAAAAAAAAGATGTTATAATGTCCGACCTGCCGGATTCGAACCAGCGACCTAAGGATATGCTGCAAGTTTATTTAGCCAACTACAGTCCTCCGCTCTACCAACTGAGCTAAGGTCGGTTTGTGATGATGAAACGGTAAATATTATATAATTCATGCATACATAAAAGACGCAACATAGTACCTGCTGGCTGGTAGATTAGGAAGTGAATGGATATAGATTAAGTGGATTATGGTCCAACTTAATGAGTAAAGTGAGTAATTTTGAATTAGTTAAATTTAAAGTTAAATAATATTTAAAATATAATAATTAAAAGTTGATATAATGTAAAAGTGAAAGAAGAGATCATAAAAAGTGTAGGTAGTTAAAATTGTGCTAGATAGTGAATAGTGAATTAAAAATGATGTAATATTTAAGAATACTTAATTGATATTATTTCATTATATTTATGAATAATATGAGAGTTAGGGTTTGAACAATAAAAAGGAAAGTAAAAATAAAAAAAATAAAATATAACTTTTTGAACATGTCGCTCTTGCTCCCACATAATCAGACACCATTGTCGTTGATTACCCAATATTGCTTGTTTCCAACAATAAAACAAATAAACATACCACCACCATCAAGGCTATAAAATATAAAAAAGACATCACAATTCACAAGTCACAACCAAACATCCCAAAGTAAATTCCATCTCTTATTTTTCTAATTTTTCTATTGCAAGGGACACAGCCTCACACAACAAAACACATAAGAATGCATACACACACACACACACAAACTCAGAGAATCAATCCCTTTGGAGAAGAAGGTTTCTTATCACCCGCGCTTGCCTTTGGCGATCCAGACGTCTGAATCTCTGCATACCCTTCGGACGAGGATTTTCCATGTTCGCCCTCGGCCATTTTCTCCATCGTCCTCTGGCTAACCTCACCAGCAGCCTTAGTAACTCTGTTAAAAGCTCCGGTAACCCACGAAGCACCGGTCAAGACATAACGGTTTTTCATAATGGCCGAGCCAGCCGTGCTCACGGTCTGCTCGGCTGCTGCAAAGGCCGATTTCGTCTTTTCGGATACTTGGAACTTCTGGTCAACTTCCTTGACCTTGTCGTTGACTATTGAAGCCCCAATTGTGATTTTCTCACTCAAGCCGATTTTTTGGTCCAATGAGGCCACTTTGGCTGTGGCGGTAGATATGACTTGGTGCTTCTCGTCAAGGGCTTTGGCCTTGTTGAGTGCATCTTTTCCTAAGATGAAACCCTTCGCTAGCATGCTGCTCACCACATCCTCAGCTTTTTGAACGGCTGACGAGGCAGTGCCGCCTGTGTTCTTGTCATCTGATGCCTTTAAAAAAAAGAAAAAAAAAAAGGCAAAAAAATCATTTTAAGAAGAATTTTCGGAGAATGTTTTTGTAGAGGGAAAAGATTATTGAATGAGAACAGGTGAAAGTTCATTAGTACATAGGACGGGGCAGATGCTGCATGCGGCAACACATAATCTGGTTCGAGAGCAATGTTGACTGCCTGGTCAACTATAGTGGCTCCCTGTGGAGATGCAACAGGGATAAATATTTCGGAAAATGTCTCGATGTATAAATACATATAGAACTATTGTTCTTATTCGCCTACAACATTTGATAGGAAGATTAACATATACACTGAAATGCCATAAAAACCGTGACTTGTAAATGAAGGGTAATAATATTTGATAAGACTAAAGAAATGGCTGTCAGAAGTTTTGCTAGACATGTCGAAACTAAAGCAATGCAGTTCTTTAACGTTTTCGTAGTAGCCACAAAGCAAAGTATAGTTCATGCAAACACCTGTAATGATTAAGTTTTTCTAACTGATAGAAAAATCTTGCAGCAGCTAGTGAGCAATACTGACATGCCAATCACTATAGAATCCACACTCACAAAATCAATGACAAACACCTCTAATGATAACATTTTTCTAAATGAGAGAAAAAACTTGCGGCAGCTAGTGACCAGTACTGACATGTCAATCAGTATATAATCCACACTCAGGAATATGATAAACAAATCTCATTTGCGCAGAAATAAACATATTGTTTTGTCAAAGGATGTCACTTTCTAGTCTAGCTAATAGTGCCAAAAATAGTACACATGTCTCCTCGTACACATGATGCCCATCGAAAAATACCAATATAACAACAAACTAATTAAATATAGACTTCCAGGGAAACTGCGGATACCGTAAGAAGAACAGCAGTTTCAGCTCCCTGAGGTTCCTTGAAAGTGACGAATGCTGTTTGAGACCGCTCACTCTCGCTAAGATAACAAGAAATATTGTACAAAATCAACAAAATAATGAAATTTTGCAATCACATATAAGAAAATATATAACTCAAAGCATATGAATGGGAATTATATTTGAAAATCTCAGGTTGAAACCTCTTTATCTCGACATATTCGATTATCCCGGAGAATGAAAAGAACTCCTGGATGTCCTGCTCTGTAGCACCCAGTGACACATTGCTCACTTTCACAGTTCTGACCTGCCATGGCAAATAAGCTGAGAGATGAGCATAACATCCTATCATTGGATGCACAATTTTCCAATTCAAAATATAAAATGTTCTCATTACAACACAACGACAAGGCTAATCATATACCAATACATCCAAAGGACAGCCTAAAACCTACTAGTAAAAAATTGTTTCAACGACCATTTGAAATGATTGAGTTGCTTGCATATGCCAATACGAGCGACAAAATTGTTTTCACGCCCCTTTAAAATTGTCGAGCAGCTTTCTGAAGCCATAAAATCCCAAAAAAATCTCACAGTCCCAGTTTTGAAAAACGATCCTGGTCGAATTACTCGAATCACATTAACCTATCACCTCATGAATTGAGCTCATTACTGTTGAAAATAAATATCAACTAGTACTAATACTCATGTACAACATGAGTGTTGAGCTAATGAATATATGTGTAAAGTTATTTATGTCTAATACCAAACCTAACTCCAACCTTGGGTCGTTATGGAAACAACCTCCTGGTGTAATTACAAGGGTAAGGCCTGCGTACAACTGACCTCCCAGACCCCAACATGTTGGGAATATATTGGGTATGTTGATGTTGATTACCAAACCTAATTCCAGAGCAAAAATAATATAAAAACATCACGAAGCATAGATTTTCGCCATGTCAGCATCCGAAGTGTGAGAATTTGCCGATATACAAAATATTCGAAATATTAGATGTTGCCAGGCATAACTCACAAGATGCACACAGTACATGAACAGCAATTCAACAAACAGATTAACCAAACAAATAATTTTCCCTCAACCTACTCCATTAAACAACCAAATGAACGAAATCAAATCGGAAAAAAAAAATAAAATTACAAAGATATAGCCACTGAAATCTGGATAAACATCGAGGAGGACAAACGAAAGAACAAAATCAGCCAAACGTTAAGAAACCGTAAAATTATTTCAAATAAAAAAACAAAGAAAGAGATCCACAAACCGACATGTAGGCAACAGATATATACTAACCGCCATCGTCGCACAGTCCTTGCGATCAGGAAGCTCAAAATCAATCAGTTTCGTGCAGA